TTTTTTTTTAGACAAAACAACTCAACATTTAAATATAACTGCATCTTCTTGTTTTACCAACCTCACTTCTGCAGGTTTGCTATGATTAGTTAGGGTTGGGGAAGAGTACTGAAAGTCCATTTTAAAGTCATTCATATTTTCCATTTACACAGAAATCTCCAGTGAATAATGGCCACCAGAAATCCTTCTATAGTAAACATGTTGATCTTAGCAGGGTTGAATTAGAAACCAGAGCTCCAGCTGCACCTCTTCCTCCTGTTCCTGGGGGGTCTATGAGGAGATACTGGTGGAGAACATGAGCATGATTCTCCTGATTGCTCTCAGTCCTCTGCCTCACACACCCATGTACTTTTTCTTTGGTTCCATGTCCTTCATTGATCTCTGTTAGTCCTCTGTCATTACCCTCAAAATTCTGGTGAATTTCCTTGGGGAGAAGAATACAGTCCTTTATTCTGAGTGCATGGCCCACCACTTTTTTTTTGTGATCTTTGCAGTAGCTGAGGTTTACCTTCTGACTGCCATAGCATATGATCTTTACACTGCCATCTGTAACCAACTGCTGTACAATGTGATCATATCACCTTGACTTGCTCTCTAAGAGTGCTGGTTTCCTTCATCCTGGGTGTTCTGTGTGCTGTGGTCCATACAAGTGCCACAATGAAACTGAACTTCTGCAAATCTCACATCGTCATTCTTTACTTCTATGATGTTCTTCCCCTCCTCAATCTCTCCTGCTCCAATGCACACCACAATAAGCTTTTACTTTTTATCATTTCTGGGTTCAAAACACTAGTGCCCACTTTCTGTTGTTGTCTCCTACACCTTCATCTTCTTCAACATCCTTCTCATCCAGTCCTCAGAGGGATGCTCCAAAGCTTTTGGAAAATGTAGATCTTATCTCATGGCTGTGAAAATCTTGGCCCTACATGTATTTAAAGACTCCTTCAAGTAACATTCTGGACCAGGGGAAGATGTCACCCACAGTGATTCCCATGCTGAACCCATTGACATACTGTCTGGAACCAGGACGTGAAGACAGCAGTGAGGAGGGTCTGGATGGGAAGATCAATCTTGCTTTTGAAGACAGATAGATGGGAAAGATCAATAGTTTTAATTGAAATACAATCTTTGTTATATCTAAGATATTTGTGCCTCTCTGAAAATCCAAAGCAGGGCCTCTTATATGCTAGGCAAGTGCTCTATTACTGAATTACTGAGCTATGCCCATACGAAAAATATAAATTTCTTAAAATGCTTTCTAATCTACAGTGGATTCCATGTTATCAATAAAATGAAAAATAATTTTGTAAATATTAATGTTCTTATATTTTGACAGCAAAAGTGAAGTTTAGGTTTCTAATTTTGTTAGTATGATAGAAAAGGGATGGGAAATTAGATTATTTTCAGAGTTCTTCTTTTCTTCATTATGATCCTGTCTTGATTGCTGAATACCTGCAATGAGGAAGTTACTGAATTTTCTACTGGCATGAATGCTAGGAGACATGTAACCTAGTCCTCAATATCATTCATTAATTCTTGAGGGAAAAAACAAATGCATTCTGCAAAAATAGAAAATGCAAGAAAAATATTTACAGAACAAGAATGATAATTTTATTCATCACACTTTAATATAGTTTTACTTAGTTTATTTTTTATATTAAAATCTCTATTTGCATGTCTTTATTTACTCTCATGGGACCCCGATGTCTTTCTCAATTATGGAAGAAAGAAAGTCTGTGCTCCAGCCCATTGTGACTGCTAGTCAATACATTTGGGAAAAACCAATTGGGAACATGAGAATTAAAAAAAATATACCCTAATTATAGGTGACATAATAGCTTACTTCTAAATTTATAGAGATTTAATGGTAAAACTAATAAGGAGAATTCAGTAAGGTGACAGAAATTAAACTAATACTCAGAAGTCAATACCCAAATATAAAACTAGTTACAACATGTAAACTTTTTTTACAATTGCAGCAAAATGATAAAATACATGTGATTGTATTTTAGAAATATGAAAATTCCATATGAGTGAAACATTCAAATACTTTGAAAAATATAAGCCAGAACTTGAACTAAAGATAGGTCTCCTTTTTTTTTAGACAAAACAACTCAACATTTAAAGGTGCCAGTTCATTTTAATTATTTTATGAAATTCCTGCAAATCCTCTCATTTTTTCCCTTTACCCCTGCCCTCCCTTCACCCCCTCCACCCCTCCCCATCTACAAACACTTTATTTTTATCTTTTCATTATCTCACATTTTTTTCTTGTCATGTAGAGGTACAAGATCCCAACAATAAATGTAACTGTACTGTATCCCTAAAATGTACCAATAAACTCAATTAAAGCTGAAAAAAAAAGAAATTCATGCAAATCCAACAAAAGCACCAAAATATTTTTCTGTTTGTTTTAGAAAATATTTTCAACTTTATTGGAGGATCAGTATGTATGGATTAATGAAGTACAGCTGAATTACTTGAAACTGCATTTACACAAAAGGCCCAATTTCATGAGTCCTGACGTGTATAAACTTTCAAACCCTTCACCACAATTAGCATAACAAACATTTCATTCAGTCTCTGTTCTTTTCACCTATGTGCATAGGCAATAATGGATTTGAATTGTTTCTATTTTCTCTGTCTTTCTTCCTTTGTGTGTGTGTGGGAGGGGTGGGTTCAAGAGGTGAATGAATAGTCAGGTTTGGCTGACCTTAAACATACTTTTAGCCTAAACTTAACTTGAAGTCAGGGTCAACCTTTTTCCTCAGCCTGCCAAGGGCTGGGATTATACATATGAACTGCCATGAGTGGTTAACAAGGCAAATTTTTAAATTTCATCAGGTATGTGTGAGAGGTACAGCTGGTTTATATCACAGCCAATACTTGATTTTATTTCTTTGTTTTAATTTTATAAATTCTAATCTGTATATATTAGTACATAATGGCATTTATTTGCATTTTTGTTAATAATAAACTAGTCATATAGATTCCAATCTCATTCATTTATTTATCTTCTTTTGAAATGTCTGGTTAAATTGTTTTAACCATTTTCTTATTTGTTGTTTTAATTTTTATTATTGAACTGTACATAAATATTTAACATGGATATATTCCATTTCTAAGTGCAACAACTCTATCAGATAAGAGTTCAGTGGATCTTTTACCCCAAATTATGACTTGCTGTCAATGGTGTCTTTTGAAGAATAGGTTTATTTAATTTTTGCTTCAATTTCTCATGTTTAAATTATGTATGGATTCCTCTAAAAAATCATTTACATTTTTTAAAAATGAGAACCAAGGCCTGTCATGTAAAGGTACAAGATCCTAATAATGAATGCAATTGTACTGTATACCTAAAATGTACCAATAAACCCAAAAAAAGGAAAAAAAATCATTTACATAGTTGAAAGTTATCAAACTATTATTCTGCATTGTTCCTTAAAAATTTTATAATTTTTGGTTATACAGTTAGGCATATCATACATTTTGAGTACATTTTGGTGCAAGCATTGTTTACTTTTAAGTGTCCTCAGGTGTCTTTTAAGTGTCTTCTATGTTGTCCAGATATGTGCTTCTAGCTACTGATAAAGGTGGATTTAATGAGATTTCATTAGAACAGAGGGGTGAGACTATTTAATATTGATGTTTATACAAAAATACCTATGTGATAATATCTAAAGATGAAGTGCAAAGTTGAGGGAGATTGAGGACAATCATATAATAAAACATTATATAATCATATCACAGTGATATATGCACACCTATGTTTATAACAGCACAGTTTGTAGTAGCTAAAACTTTAAAACAGCCCATTTTCCCATCAGTTGGAGACTGGATAAAGAGGGTGTGGTTTTTCTATAAAATGGAATACTATTCAGCCATGAAGAATGAGACATTAGATTCATTCATAGGAAAATGGATACATATTGAGGATATACTTCTAAGTGAAAGAAACAAGTCACACATGTATAAACACTGAATAGTTTCTCTGGTGTGAAAAACTATAATGGTACATAAGATCCTAATGATATAATTGACAATGTGAAATAGGAAGAAAAGGGCTAAATATGTAGGGGAAATGGTAAGGGTAGGGGAAAAGTATAAGGGAAATGAAAAAACATGAGAAAATGAAAAAATGGAAATAAAGTATTTGTAAATAGGAAATGGAGGAGGGGGTGAAGGGAGGGCAGAGAAAAGGGGAAAAAATGAGAACCAAGACCTGTCATGTAAAGGTACAAGATCTGAATGAAGAAAAGTTCTAGAAATTCTGTGCATTCCAATGGTACAGTTTTGGTCATTAGTATCCTAGCTGGTGTCAGGTGCTAGTGAAAATCCATTGAGGACACAGGGCAGACTTTCTTGCCTTACTACACAGAGATGCTCCTATGTGAGAAGAAAGCAAAATGTATGTAATGGCATAGTTTCAATAATTTAATGCACTTGTAATTAATTTGTCTGTGAATGCAGCATGTGTAATTTATTTTAGCTATTAAACTTCAACTATGGAGAAAATACTGAGGAAAATAGGCCTTTCAAATTTTAATCAGGACCCTAGAGATTCTGAACTCATAAAAAACAACCTTAGCTCATAGTGTCAGGTGGTTCTTTGTCATTAGTGGATGTTGTTTACCACTTCCTCAGCTGGAGAAGAGACTGAGAAAAGTCAGCATCAGAAATCATGAGAGGTAATTCATGGCAGCTCTGAGGATGGGACTGGTGACTGGTTCGAACTCTCTAAGCCCAATATTCTTCCCAGGCTATAGCAATTAAAAGAAAAACAGAGGTGCAGGGATTTAGCTCAGTGATTCTGTCACCTGCCTTGCAAGCAGAATGACCTGAGTTCCATCCCTGGGACAAAATACAAAACAAAACAAAACAACAACAACAACCACAAAAAACCCAGAATTTCTTTTTCTGGGCTCTGTATTCTAAAGCTCATCAGATTCTCCAGGCTCTCTGAAAATAGAGGAGAATTAACACAGTCCTATCCTGAAGCCATGTGGGCAAAGGGTGAGTGCTGGATTGCATCTCTTCTGCTATTCTTCTTGCAAACCCAAGGGTTCAGTGAGCCCTTGAAGTGCTTCACCTCCTGGGCACTGAGATCACCCCTGACCCTCAGGAGCGAAGGGGACTGTTGAGGCAGAAGTGAAGCAGAGATGCTGCAGAGCCATCAGCACTCCTTGGCTTCCTAAAAATCAATCCTTCCAGAAATTTCTTTCTATATTCGCAGTAGTCATCTTTATACCTTCCCTTGGTCTTCTAAAATGGTGAAAACAAAGGCAAAAGAAAAGGTGGGCTTGCTTTCATCCTAGTCTTCATCTCAAACATTTTATCCTGGGGTTGTGTAACCCAAAGTAGAGAAACTGGGTGTCTCATTTTATTTTTTCATTAAGTTTATTGGTAAATTTTAGTTATAGAGTTACAGTATCATTGGGAACTTCTATTTTTACATGACATATCTTGTTTCTTATTTTTACTCCATTCCGCTTCCCTCCCTTTAATACCTCCACCCCCCCATTTACAAAAATTTTGTTTCCATTTTTTCCTTTTCTCATATTTTTTAGTTTCCTTCTCATGTTACTGCTTCTCTTGTTCCCACAGAACTGCCCCAGGGAAGAATAGCCTCAGGTAATGGCTCTTCAGTGACCGAGTTTGTACTGCTGGGTTTGACACAACAGCCAGAGCTCCAGCTGCCTCTTTTCTTCCTCTTCTTGGGAATCTATGTGGTCTCCATGCTGGGGAACCTGGCCTTGATTGGTCTGATTGGTCTGAATTCTCACCTGCACACCCCCATGTACTACTTTCTCTTCCATCTTTCCTTCATTGATCTCTGCTACTCTACTGTCATAACTCCTAGGATGATGATGGGTTTTGTGAAGCAGAACATCATCTCTTATGCTGAGTGCATGGCTCAGCTCTTTTTCTTTTGCTTCTTTGGTATTAATGAATGTTATATTTTGACATCAATGGCCTATGACAGATATGTGGCCATCTGTAAGCCCCTGCTGTACAAGGTCATCATGTCCCATCAGGTCTGCCTCATGATGACAGTGGGTGTGTATGCAATGGGCTTCTTGGGTGCCATGGCCCACACTGTGAGCATGCTGAGACTTACATTCTGTGATAGCAATTTCATCAACCATTACATGTGTGACATACATCCTCTCCTGGCGCTCTCCTGTACAAGTACTTCCATCAATGAGATGGTGATGTTCATTATAGTGGGTGTCAATGTAATAGTGCCTAGTCTTACCATCTTCATTTCCTATACCTTGATACTTTTCAACATCTCCTCCATCCAATCTACTGGGGCCAGGTCCAAAGCCTTCAGTACATGTAGCTCTCACATAATTGCTGTTTCTCTTTTTTTTGGAGCTTTAGCATTCATGTACCTTAAGCCTTCTACTGGATCTCTGGATCAAGATAAAGTATCCACAGTTTTTTATACTATTGTGGGGCCGATGATGAACCCTTTTATTTACAGTCTGAGGAATAAAGATGTCCATAGTGCACTGAGAAAGACTTTGAAGGAAAAGGTGCTCTGCTAAATAGGTACTGTGTTATTGATAACAAATCTTACTTCAGGAATGTGATTTGTAAAACTGTGGAATGGGCTAAGGTTGTAATTCAGTACAAGAAGGTTTGCCTAAAATGCACAAGGCTTGGGATACTTTTCTAGCACTATAAAATAGCACAATAGTAGCAGCAGCAACAATAAATCAGCAGAAGTACCACAAACATAGTAAGTTATGAAACTGAAATAACAAGGACTCCATACTAAACAAAACTAAATTAGTTATAGATATCATTTCTGAGGCAAAAGACATATGAAGGAGGATCAGATCATATTCTTTCAGAGAGCAATAGCAGCATAGTTAATCATGTCATCCTTTCAAGTTTATTTTTCATAAAATATAGGCTTATTTTATGTTTGTTTCTGTGGTGCTGAAGATTAAACCTGATTCTTCTACTACTATGCTGTATATCAGTCCTAATAATTATTAGGCTTTAGCAGAAAATTGAATGATAAATAAATACAAAAGTGGTAAATTTGTGAGCTTTGCCTATCTATCTATCTAATATATATTATCATTAATAATCTATCAACATCTATTTTTGTAGTTATGATGATTTAGCCATTGTGTTTTTTGAACAATTTGTATACTACTGAGCTATCCTTTATCAGACCAACCATGAGATTTTTGAGTAGGACACATGTAGAGTTCCAGTGAAACTTCAATGGACATATTGCTTTTGATAGTCTTAGGGTTCTTAATTTATTTATTCATTTAACAATCCTATTTTTAGTGCTTTTGGGGATTTTCTTTTGTGTTCCTATGGTAGATGCTCTTCTAACTCTGATCTTTTGTCCCTTCTTGGCAATCTCAAGAAAATGAAATAAAATGAGACTGATTTTTATTTTTATGATCTTGATTTCTAAGGATAGAAAATAAAATAATCATTTAGAGTGCCCAGGATAAAGGGAGCGTCCACTGAGTTAATTACTTGGATTTGAGGGAAGGAATGTGGTATAAGGACATTTCACATCTTCACTGGGAAGAAGTTTATTTGAAATCTATATTGCCAATTAAGCAGAAACATTTTTGTCCTTTTTACAAATATATCATACAGTCTTAATTCCTCAATTTCTCTTTCCATTTAAAATGTTCACTCTTGTTTGACTCAGAGGTTTACATAGTAAATAATAGAGTTTATTTAATTAGTAAATTCAATGATTTAGACTTCAAAATATTTAGGTTCTCTTAATTTACAAAAATATAATGATGAAGACAGAAAAATTCTTTATTCTCAGATAATTCATTGGTTAAAGAAATTTGACAGTGAGATTCAGGTGGGCACGAGGAAGAGAGAAACTAGTGAATAAGCCATAAACATATATTCCAGAAAAATCCTTTGGAAAGTCGTAAGAGAATAAGTGTGTGCTCACTTTCTTTTTGATTTCAAGGGAAGAGAGCTACATGCAAGCATTTTAGACAGAGGGAAGAGCTGGGAGAGAGTGCCAAAGGGAGAACAGTCTTGTTGATTAAAAGTGCATCAGTAAATGCTTATTAGAAGAGAGTTTAATGAAAGTTATACAAATATATAGAATTTACAAGATGTGCTTACCGTGGCTGCCCACAGAGTCAGGTGTAGAAGAGTGCACAAGGTCTGCATGAGCAATGGAGATAATGGAGTATCTAGTTAAATGCCCGGAGCTCTCTATCATGTCCTTTGTAAGTCCTTATGAGAAGCCTGATGGGTGTGCGGAAGAAGGCTGAAGGGTGAAGCCCAAAGGCTGAAGAGTCTGCACTGGAAGCCAGGAGAGAATATGCAAGGTGAGGATGAAGACTGAGCTATGAAGAAACAGATGCAAGCTTTCCTTCTTTGTTTCTCTTTAATACCATTTTGGTAAAAATCCTCCCTAGGGCAGGTCTTCACACTCGGAACTGTGCTGATCCCATTTAGTTGGGTATTTCTTACTCACATTGACACAATCAGTTAAATATCCTAATGAGGAGTGGAAAACAAGTCATTGTGTCTACAGTGCAATGGAAGGAGGGTAAGCATTAGGAGGTGCATGTGGTATGTAGTTAAAGTATTATGAAATCAGCCTTACATATTAAAATTTTATAAGGGAAATGAGTGGATGTTATTAAAGCACAATAAATAAAATTTTATGATATTAATTGTTGTACCCAGATCGTGATATCCCCAAAGACCACCTAGGAGTCAAGTACGGTGTCATCTGTGCCAGAAGTAGTTTTGTTGTGCTTCAAGCTATTCTTTGACCTTATATCTGGCATCCTTTAGTAGCTCCTGCATGGCTAGCTCCTTGAGGGATCTAGGGGAGGTAAGTGGAACATTTTTGTTACATGGGCAGCATTTCTAATAATTTTCAGTCCCTCCCAGATACTTGGGATTCAGGTCTCTTAATAGATTATCATAAAATCTTAGAACTCTTGGATTTAAGGGACTTAATTCTAATGATTCCAGGAAAATAACAATCCAATATCATCTTGTCCAGCTGCCAGTGAGTGAGAGCAGGGCTTGGAGTGCATTGTCTCCTGGAGTCAAAATCCATGAAATTTTCTGGATAGACCTGTTTTACTTTAGAATGGTGGTAACTGAACTTTAGCTATCTTGACAGCCATCAGAGTAACCATAAATGACTCTTCTATATAGATCAGAAAGGGGTTCTTTTTATTTTTAATTTATCTTTGAATATTTAACATATTTGCCCAATTTTAACAATTATAATTTCATATTAGATAAGCCCAGTTAAGGTAATTTTATAAAGTCTCTAGATATAGGGTGGCCTTTTAAACAAGACCTCATATGGGAAGAACCCAATATGTCTTGGTTATCTCTTAATTTAAAGAAGGCCAAAGGCAGATCAATTTATAACCCAGTGTTATCTGACAGTATTTACATTATAATTTATCATTTTTAACCTTATAAGAATTTTAGAACAATAAGCAGTATAACAGTTTAGCTAGATCTTGTATAACCTCTGTTATAAATACTGGCCCATTGTCACTGCCTATGGAGGGAGGCAGACCAAACCTTGGAATTTTTAATAAGATCTTGCATATCTCTGAGGCCCTCTTTGTTTTTATAGGGAAGGCCTCAGGCCATACAAAAATACAAAACCATATTAACATGTATTTATAACCTTTATAGGGGGTGGGTATAATCATCTAAAGTTTCTATTTAGTTGTCTTTTTGGCTTATATGCCTATTTTAGCATTGCCATTTGCTACTGTATTTTTTCTTTCTTGAATTACTATAGCTATTTTGTCAGATTTCTACATTGTCTTAAATAACTATATTGTATTCTATTTATTTTTAATAAATTTGTCCTCTGCTGTGAGAAGACCACACCCATATAGACTGTGCCATAGATATACCAAGTGGCAATCAGGAATCTGTATAAACATTTACCTTCTTTTTTTTTTTTAACCCATCAGAGTGCCCACACTTACACTCATTGAGCTGACCAATCCAGTGGGGAGGGGTCCGGTTTGGACCACTTTATTTTGAGTCATCTCTGCATAGCCAGTATAGTGTACCCCATTTTCCATGAAGCTGTCCCCATCCTTGAACAGGACAAAGTCGGCCTCAGGCAGCAGGTCTTTCTGTAACTGGATGACTGGAGAACAATTCATCAGTGACCCCTAGGCAATTATGATCAGGGGGCCAGGTTCCGAGGGCAAAAAGTAGCAGGGTTTAAGGTTTTAACTGGAACAAAATATAGGCAGGGATTCTCACAGATGAGGGCCTGATATTATGTGACTCTATTATTTGAGAGCCATCAATGTCCTATTACTCAATAGTTCTAAAAGGCATGGAGAAACCAAATAATTTACTTTTTCTTAAGGTTACCTGGTCAACTTCCTTAATTAGCATTATTGTAGCTGCCAGGGCTTATAAAACAAGGGAACTATCACTTTACAGCTGGATCTATTTTTAAGATAAATACATCATTGGCTAATTTTATGGGCCTACTCTTTTAATGAGCACCCCTAAAGCAATATGATTTCTTTCAATCAGATATAATCTAAAAGGCTGGGGCTGGGAATTTAGCTCAGCGGTTCAGTGGCCTGCCTTGCAAGTACAAGGACCCAAGTTCAATCCCCAGGACAAAAAATAAAAAATAAAAAAAATAAAAAACTAAAATGCTGGGTCACATTTAGGATCCCTGATACAGGGGGCAGCAGAAAGAGTTAGTTTTAGCTATTTAAATGCTGACTCTTGTTCTTTATCCTATAATAATCACTGTCTTTCCAGGCTCTTAAAGATATATATGAGAGAATCTAGATCTTGTAAAAACACTTTATCCCCAAAATTTTTTTCATCTACTTTAAATCCTTTTATCTCCAAGCAGCATAAATTTTATAGCCTGTCTCTTGAAGCAACATTAAACCTCTCAGTACCCTATTTCTTTATTTAGTACACCAGAAAATTAACAATAATCATAATTTCACATATGAAATTTTATACCCTTTATTCTAATCAGATATCAAAACATTTTAATAGAACCTCAGTCTATTTTTTTACAGAAATCTTATTTTTAAAATAAGCACTATAAATACAGAGCAATAACATATTTAGAATCTAATTTTTTTATGATAACCAATATAAACTTTTTATAGCAACATATTTAGCCCCGTTTTGGGGGGATATCTTCTCAGAAGGTCATTAGTGAATAATGACCAAAATATATTTTTCTGAGAAACTATCCTTTTACTATTAACAGGAATCTATTTAGACATGAATTTATACTTAATTATCTTAACAAAATTTTAACTTATAAAACCAGATTATAGAAATTAACAAATTATTAATATTCTTTTTATCATTTTAAATCAAAATATAATTGGACAAATACCTTTTAAACAATCGGGCATAGACAAACATAAGACAATATATAAAACTATAATATACTCAAATATTTGGCCAATTGAATTATAAAATCTTATTTATTATTTCTTTATTTTTGGTACTGGGGATTGAAATTGGGTCCTTGTGCCTGCAAAGCAGGAACAGC